GCATACATTAAAAGGTTAATTTTCTTTTATCTTAAAATGTTTTTAAAAATTGGAAGGCAATCATGAACAACACCACAGAGAAGGACGATCCTTGTGGGATGCCATTGTGCAGAGTATAGAATTTAGATAGAGTGTTGTTGAGTTATCAACCTCTTCAGTTATAGAGGTTGACCCCCACATTGGACTCCAAGCATTAAAATCTCCATCATAAAGGATCGGTTTCCTGGTAAGATTTACTATTTGGAGTATTTCATGGCTGTCACGAGTTGATATGAAGGTATAAACGTATTGAAAATACAAATATTGGGTTGTAGGATTTCGATACCTAAAGAGCATGTACTGCCACTTATTGGTATAGCTTTCCTATACCAATGTCTTACCGGATGAGTATGCTAACACCATGCTTAGCATAGGCATTAGAGATTAAGTTGTAGAAATATGCAGTAAATTTTTTGGGGGAAGCAAAATTTGTAAGGTTAGCATTTATATGCGTTTCCTCCAGGTACATAACACCCGGGTTGGTATCGTTAATCAAAAGTTGTAATCAAAAGTAGTGTAATTGTTAAAGTAACCATTAATTTTCCATTCTACTAGTGTAACGGAAAAAGGCGGGAAAAGTATGGATATTATTGCGTTGAGATCTGGGATAGACGAAATTATGAATCACTTATAGTTGCACGAAATTTCGACTTTAGCTGGGAGGCTATAAGGTTCAAAGGCTAATAGGATGACTCCACTCGGCTTAGAAACACGTATGACTTCATAAATTTGTAAACGTCCGTCACTTTTTGTGATTTAAGTTTTTTGACAATTTCTTCATCGGGAATGTCGGAAAGATAAGGAACATAACCCGTTCCTTTTACAAAATTGAGGGCTTCATAGAGCATGTACTTTATTTTGCTTAAACCAGTAAGTTTAGTAGTGTTTATAAATGTTTCAGCATCGGCTTGGGTTCTTACTAGCATCAGTAAATTTCCGTCTCTGAGGTTCGAAATTGACACAATGTTTTGGAGATGATTTTTAAGGCTCGGTGGACGGCAAAGCATGAGAATTGGGAGATCGTCTTATCGGTGTTGGTGAAGGCAATTAATATGTACTTTGGATTATTAGAAGAGGTTGGAGGAAGGTCGGGAAATCCCATATACAGTTTTTGAGGTTGTCATCTTTTTTTCGATTGGTGGCTGATGGCAAGCGGTGTGAACCGTTTTTTGCCCAGGTTGGGCGGACCTGGGGCCATGTTAAAGCTTTAAGATTATTACTTCATATTTTATGTAAGTAATTGTTTCGAAAATTACAGTGTGAGGAGGGAAAATAGGATAAAGTGGAGGAAAAATATGGACCACGTGGGTCGATAAGAATAGGGACCGAGAACCGCTGTTGAGAAATAAGAGACGTCCGCTCGCAACGAGAGATTAACTTCACTTGGTAATTAGTGTGATTTTGAACTCTTTTTTTGGAGCGAAGCTTGATAAGTAAGGAAGAATACAAAGCTCAAAAAAACTGGCTTTTAATGAAAAAATTCAGTAAGTTTTGCATTGGCACTTCGGCAGCAGTATTTAATATCTTGGCAATTTGGCAACAGCTTATATCTATAGGGCAGCACTTTTCCTTAGCTTCTCTCACCTTTTCGTAGCTTGGATATATATTGCAGTTTTTTTCGAATTAAGCCTTAAGCGTTGGCTTAATTTTGATCCATCAGGACTATTTATTGTCGTACTTAAAATGTGAGAAATATCTGTATTTTTTTCCTTCTTAGCAGACACAATTTTCTTTTACTTTCTTCGTAATAAAAGACCCTCGGGCCGTCCACCAAGATTACGATTACAATCATCTTTTTAATCAAATATAAGCTCCGATGCAAGCTAGCTCCAGCTAGCATTTTCTTTTTTGAAGCGACTATGTGCTATGTTCAGCAGTCTCTTAATTTGAGCAAAAAAGTTTTTTATTTTGTTTTTATCACCTCCAAATCGTTTTCCGGTAAATCATTTTGAATTACTTTGAAGCAAACCCAGTTAAAAGCAGCGTTGATATCGCGATTTGTTGCATCTTGCTTGATATGTTCCACGAAACACAAATATTTTATGGTTAGAATCAACAAAACTACTGTTTACATATTTCATTAAAAACATGACAACACAAAAGAACGAATAAATAAACATACCATGCGAAATATTTTCCATTTTAAGGTATTTTAATTGGTCAAACTGTTTAAAAATACGAGAACGCCAAAATAAAAAAAATTGTGCAATCAGCAAGCTTGCACGAACCACATGGCAAGAACAGCTGACTTTCAAGGACTGGTGGAAGACAAAGGCTGCACAATAAAATACCAATTAAATATTTTCGATGTCTAAGGATTTTTCTTAGCTTGAAATTATAATAGCATTATTGATATATTAACACTTACTTTTTAGGTTGTGGCTAAAACAAAGGCATCGCATCTCAATGTGCAGCCCTACCGCATGGGTCAGAGGAGACTCCTGCAAGGAGAACCCACCACATCCGATCTACTAAAGTGCATAAGGAATTCTACCCTTCCTGAGGCGGGAAGTGAAGTGAAGATCGAACGAGACGGACGTCGTCGTTCAGCGCCCCACTGATCGCGCTGATCCACGGGCCCGCGGGGCCTACAAAATAAGTCGGTGAACTTCTTAGCGCGTAACACGGCTCACCTGAGATGTATAGCAGAAATGAAGGGTACCCCTTCCCCCTGGCTCTGGAGTCCCCATCTGACGTCGCAGGACAGGGGGTCAGGGGTGGGCTTTCTCCTGCTCTTCGACTGCGAAGGCGGACAAACAAACGAAAACCATCCCTCTGCGGTGCAAGGAAGCTGCAGCCCAGACTGATCCGTGGCAACGGCACCACTAGCCCCGGCAAAGGCCCCGAGAATCTCGGCAAGAGATGGGCCTACCCAGCGGACTTCAAGTCACCTGGCCGCCAGAGGCGCCAGGGCATGGGTCAGGGCATCAGACCACAGACGCAATGCCAGGACCAGGATGGGAAAACGCAGCCCGGAAGAAGTCAAGGACATCCACTCGACCCGATGCGCTAGCCGTGGAAGCCAGGGGATAAAGAACAGCGAGGTGCTTGCCTTGGTCACCAGACGACAGAACGGTCAGCGGAAACCGGTCACGATAAGGAGCCTGCGCGCAAGATCCAGGGACACGCAGACCGCTATGATTGGTCTGCCCAGCAAGATTGCGACTGCAATCTGTTTCAAGCAAAGAGAAAGTGAGGATCGGATGGACGGTGTGTCGGATTCGGGTGAGGGAGAGTCAACCGAAGTGCTAGCGATGCCTTGAAGTGGGCCATATTGCGAGAAAGTTCCGAAGCTCCATCGATAGGAGCGGATGCTGCATCCGCTGTGGCAAAAGCGGGCATAAAATAGCCAAATGCCCCGAAAAGAGTGCCTGCTACGTTTGCGCGATCGCAGGGCTGATACCCATTCAAGAGATGGTCCGAGAGAGGACGGAGCTGGCCAACATGGCTCAGGACAGCCTTTCTTCGACGTCGGCCAAGAAGAGGGAGGTGAGAGCCATAAGCTTGACCAACTGGCAACGGCGATGGGAGGAATCACCCAAGGGACACTGGACGTTTCGTCTTATTCCGGACGTGGGAGAGTGGACCGGAAGGAGGCACAGTCAGGTAGAATTTTACCTCACGAAGGCCCTTAGTGGGCATAGGTGCTTCCGAAGCTTCCTAAAGCGCTTTGAAGACGAAAGCGAGGACTGCTGCCCGTCGAGCGGCAGTGGAGTCACAGAGGACCCACTCCACGTTCTCTTCGTTTGTAGGCGATTTGTTGAGGATCGTCTTACCCTGGAGAAGATCCTGGATGAGGCCTTTATACCCAGCAGCATGGTGCCTCAAATGCTTCATAAGCCGGAAAATTGGGAAGCCATAGCCGAGTTTGTGGCCAAGTCGATGATGGAGCTGAGAGCCCTGGAGGGGGCACGCAACGGGCAGGAGGAGTAGGTGCCAGAGTTGTGCGAAGCAATGTTTCAGGGCTGTACCGCAAAACGTAGGTCCAAGCTCTCACAGACCGGTCAGGGAGTAGGCCTACAGTAGTAGACTTACAGCAGGCCTATAAGATAGATTTAAGGAGCAAATAAATATAAATATAAAAAAAAAACCTTCCTGAGGCGGCTCGAGCTCCAATCCAGCTTTCCGGATGAAGGCAACGAGTCCACATGTAGCGATCTCCGTAATGTCTGTTAGGCTCGTGAGTGTTGCTGCACCCAAGAGTTTAAGTCGACCACGCCCAAGTGCAGGGCAGTGGCACAGGAGGTTTGTGACTGTTTCTTTTTCTTCTACATCCCTATAGCTCCTAAAGTAATCGTAGTGTGGCACCGCTAGTATAGTCGAGTGCGTTCCTATTAACCAGTGTCCCATGATGACGATTGCTGACTTCGATACCCTATTATTGTGGTACAAGAATTGTTGTGTAAATTATTTTCTTGTTAGAAAGGCTTTACTAATTACTTGAACAACTGAAGCAATCCAGGGAAGCAGAATGAAAAGCTTGGAAAATGTTTCATTTTTTTTTACAAAGAGTTAAAAGGAAAACAAGAAAGGAAAACTTCGGGAAAACTTGAATAATTCGTCGTATTATTTTGTGAAAAATAGCATTCATATAAAATATAACTCTAACTCTCTGTAACTCAATCAGTTATATGGCAGCTATAAGATATAGTCGGCCGATCCCGTCCGTTCTGACTTATATACTGCGTGCAAAAGAAAGAAGGGTGTGTGCAAAGTTTCAAGTCAATACCTTCAAACTGTGAGAAACAGACAGACAGACGGATAGACGGACATGCTCATATCAACTCAGGAGGTGATCCTGATCAAGAATATATATGGTATACTTTATAGGGTCGAAGATGTTTCCTTCACTGGGTTGCACACTTTTGACCAAAATTATAATACCCTCTGCAAGGGTATAATGTGGCATTCGTAATCTGGCTCGCCTCGTTTTAAAAGTCATATTTACTACAATACGCATTGATACAATATACGTATGTTACAATAAATAAGCTAGCCAAATTCTCGTAACTATTTAAAATATTGAAATAATCGCAATGTATAGAAAACTAGCCAAGGGAATGAAAAAAAGCGTGACCACAGAAAAACCTAAGAAGAACGGTAAAACTGTTAAAGGTGGTAAGGTGAAGAGAAGTAACCCAATTTCAAGAACTTGCTCAGATAATTCGACATTCTCTCCTGAATCAGCAATGAATATTTCCGGGGTTAGCCCGAAGGTACTATCTAATGAAGAAGCATGTGGTATATCAAAGTCAATAAGTGATTTTATACGCCGGGAAGTTGCCAATGCCATGATGACTGGAATACTCAATCCAAAAGCTATACAAGCCGCTGAATCAACTTGGCGAGGCGGTAATGAATTTGTAAAGCTTGATGACGTAAAGGACATTGTCTACAAAATCATCCCCAACTTGGATGGTTCGATTATAAAAAGCGACACAAAGCAGGTCGAGGAAACCATCAAACGAATTAAAAATCGGCTCTTTATTGTCGAAGAATCTGTAAAAAAGATAGAAAGCCGTATAACTGCGATAGAGCAGTCATTAGGGCCGGTGCGAGCCCAGAATACCGTCAATGTGCCCTTCTTGGACCCGTTGGTTCCTTCGAGCTCAATGACTCGACTTCCAGATATTTCCAAGATTCGGCTGCCACCTCAGTCGTACGATGTAAATATAAGTGAAAGTAGCGAAGAGGATTCGGACTATCTTGATAAAAAATTTGGTTCAGAGGGTCCCATTTTGTCTCGACCGGGCAAAGACGGTAAAAAGATTTGCGATTATGAGCTAATAGATAAATATAATAGACAGGAAGGCGGAAGGGAACAAACTCTGAAGAAGGCGATATTTCCTTCACAGTCCCTGGCTTTGGATGATAAGACTGAATTACAACACCGTATGGCCGAGAGGCGACTGTTCGAGACAAACATGCTTCTGTATCAAAAATCTCCTTTCACGCTTCACCTTAACAGTCACAAGGACCATGTTTCTAATGCCCTTGGCTTCCCTAGCTCAAAAGTGACTCCTAACCACGAATTCCGATCAAGAATTCGTAGAACAGAATTTACAAGAAATACCGAAGAGTCTCAATGGCTCTTTGAGCAATAGTTGATTAGGATTTAAGCTTTAACTTGAATTTGATTTGATGTTTTGGGTGATGATATTGTGAAATATATTAGTATCACAAATCATCACGGAAAATAAAACTTGAATGAAAAAAAAATGTGTTTAATTAAACAAAACAAAAAGTAATAGTTAAAATGTATTCACCTGAAATTTTTCATTTATAAGGTTACATTGGACGCGTATTTCTAGGCTTCTCGAACGTATGTATGTATGTTCACTTGCATTTAGCCTCTGCAAAGTGGCTACGACGACTCGATTCAAAATTTGTAATCTCAATAAATACCAATAAATACTCAATAAATAAAAATTTTATTCTTATTCAAAATTTTAAACTGCCCAGAATAATTTTTCCAGTTTCTCAGATGCATCATTTTTTTCGAAGGACTTTATATAAGAAACCCAAACTTTAAATCGACAGTTGCCATTAGAGGTGCTCATTCGATACAACTGCCAGTATCAATTATATAATCAATTATATATTCAATAAAGTCAATTTTCGAAACAAAGTTAAAGTTTTAATGCGACTCTTTTTTATTTTTTGTTTTTATAAATTATGGCACAAACCAATTGAACGAAAAGTCTACCGAAAACACGCAAAGCAAGGATCAGTGTTTGATAAGCCATGCTACTCCCGTGTAGGCAAGATTATAAAGTACATAGATGGGACATCTCATACATAGAAAAATTTACTATCGCGGGTTCCAGCGCTGGACAAGTTAAGTTTGAGAAATTTTTCGCGCTACAACGAATGAGGGATAGCCGAGTGGTAGAGTGCTTGGCTGATGTGCAAAATAGAACGATTTCAAACCAGGCTCGGGACATCCATTTTTTTTAAATTTTTAATCTATTTATATTATATTTTTTTTCTTTTAATATGTTTTCCTAAATTTATAATCCAAGAAAAATAAATACAAAATTTTAAAATCACCTTAACATCGTCTCAGTTCGTAGCAAAAGGCTGGCAGATGAGAGAGGGAAAGAGAATTCTATTTTTATATCGTAACATTTTTGGAACGATGAAAGTTTGAAACATTCAAATCGAACCAGTGTGAGAGCAAAGGGATCAGAAATATATTCTACTATCCTTACACTTTAGCTCCGTTTTTGGTATGGATTCTAGCTTACTTTAATACGAATTTTAAGTATTAATAGGTCAACTTCAAGGGTAGCGTAGATGGATAGTTCGAGGTCCTTATTCTTGGGGTCCTGGGTTTGATTTCATTAGCGGGCGGTTGTTTCAATTTTTAGAAAGTTTTAGTTTTATGATTATTTTTATACATATTTACTTATATTTTTTTATTAATATTTTTTTTTACTTTTCGTATTCACTTTATTATTATTATTATTTTTAATTGCATTCTATTACAATTTTTGTAAAAATAAGTGACGGGCGGGACGGATGACGAAATGCCGAAAGGACTCCCTTGATGATTTATTAAGCCGGACATGATAAAAAATTAAAAAAATTAAAAATTTCTATTCGCGATTATAAATACTATTTGTTCTACTAACTACCACATCGGCGCATTGAAAACAGAAAATAGAAATTGAAATTTGGAAGCCAAAACATTTTTACGTCGTCGTGCGAGCAGTCACACATACATACAAAGGCTCACAATTTTGTTGACGGATACATGAGTGAAAAGACGCTGGCACTTCGAGAAATAAAGATGTGGCAAAAGTAAGGGAAAATAAAAAAATTGTAAAAAACTTCGATCTGGGTGCCCACCTTTAGCTGACGAACTCGACAAGCGCAGAATCAAATGTATTCATTTTAGCTATTTATGAAAATATCGAAATGAAATCAACCGATCAATCAGTTATATTACACATGTATGTATGTAATACATATACACCTGCCATATATACTTTATAGGGCAGGTGATCCTTCACTGCGATGCATACTTTTGACCAAAATTATAATACCCTCCGCAAGGCTATAAAAAATTCTTAAGCCCTAACTACTGCGGAGTCATAAAGATCGTAGAATGCAGTTTGCTAACCAATATTTAGCAATTATTTTAGTAGAGATATTTTATTTATACTTAGATTTCTAAGCTAAATTTATAGTTTTTGTTTAATTTGGAGAGGATCATTTTAAAGGGATCATCAATCTTTGAATTAGACAACATACAATGAGTAGATACAAACAAACATTTTTATAATGTTCATTAGACGAAAACAGCTGCACTTTTTATGTTCAGACTTGTCTTAAGATATTCCATTATACATTTTTATTTTCAGCTTGTACAGTAAATGTTGTAATTTTTAAATATTTAATATTTTTAACCTAAAAAAAGTTGACAACTTTTATTTTTAACTTTTGAATAGAAATTGAGAAAGAAATATTATATAAAAAATTTTACAAATTTGTATTATTCAGTAGGCTCTACAAAGTAAGCTTACTGTGACAATGTCACATTTCTAGTCCTTTGTGTGAAATTTGGCGTTTTCCAACATTACCAGCTCTACTAATTATTTTGACTTTAACGTGCATTTTCACAATTTTTCACAAAAATGAACTTAGCCAGGGTCAAGATAGAGATAGAAACGATGGCTATCAATGTGTGGAAAGAAGCGGAGCAGTGGCAGAAATTAGTCCAACGTGGCAGAGTGACAATGAAACAAATTTCCACCATAAATACCCGAATCTTCGACACTGAAAATCAGTTAAATAATATGGACAAGCCACGCGAACTGCGTTCCACGGAGAAGCGCATCCAGCAGATGTTTCTGCGTTTGCAGAATCCGGTCCAAAAGATGCGTAGGGTCTTGGAGTCGCTGGGGAAGATCAAAGATAGCACCGCGCGGATGCATAATCGGCTGAGTCTTTGGATTGATGATGACCATGTAACAAAACATAGGATCCGGCCCCATCTGGGGGCTCCCAAGCTTTTGGAACTGCTTCAGTTCCTTTGCCAACGTTATGATGCTGAGTGGGAAGTTAAGGAAATGGTTGTCTGTAAGTAAAGCTCATAATAAAAAAACATGAATGTCACATGTATTTATATTTTTAAGACCATTTGGAGCACATTAGTAGCTTGCACGAACTACGAATATTGGTAGAGGCCTGGTGCAATTGTCGTCATGCTGGCGGCGGGCAGTTTCGAATCAAAATGGGCGAGTTTTACGATGCTATCGGACGTCCTCGTTCATTTGTAATATTCCAGGAAAATGAAAGACTTGCGTATAGCTCCACAAACAGAACCCCGCGTTCTGGCTTGAAAAAGGTTAAGGTTTCTGGTTAAAGACTTAAAACAGCCTATTTTAAATTATTAAATTTGATGTTAGTAATATATGAAATTTTATTTTGTATGTTATTTTTTAACATACTTACAAAAAAAAAAAAAAAAACTTTTATTGGTAAAATAAAACCATTTTCTTTTGTCATTTGTGCTTTAAAAGTTTGGTACTCGTTCGTTCAACAAAACTGTTCTACAAAATTTTATAAGGATCAGCCGGTTATAGCCAAGAGCTGAGAGCCATTTAACTGAACGATCTGAAATGTCGCATCTTTTCTTTTGAACAGGGCTTTTAACGAAGTTCTTATTATAAGAAATTTTTCTAACACTCCCAACTACAAAAATCGGATTTGGGCGATTTCGAGATACTAACATATGTACATATGTATGTACTGTTTATTATTTAATTTAAAACGAAGTGTGTTCAATTCAACTTGGTTCGACATAAGATAGATTATCAAATTCTTCTGAGACTTCTTTTTAGGCAGTATCTTTAACAGAAAATATTCGAATTTTCTAGTTCTTTCCATCAACCTTGCTTGCCTATCTTGCGATGATTGTGCAACTTTCTCACTCTTAACTAGTATGATTACTAGTTCTTTACATGTATATAATATGTATTTTTATGCGTCGCATTTATATCTTGAATGTCACTTATTTTTAGCTTATTAAAATGTTTTTCAGTAATACAAAATCAAAAAGCAAGTAAAAGAATACTAACGTCAAAATATAAACCTTATGAATTTTTAAAATTGTAGGGAACGGGGTTTTCGATACTGATTGACAGGAGGAATAAATAACGATGTACCATGGAGGTACCAAAATGTATAAAAATTTCTGAAAAACTATACAATTTCTTTTTATGAAAGCTTACCATCAGGATTTTATCAATAGCGGAGCATTTACCTCAAACTCAAACGGATGGAATCAATAAGTTTTTTGACATGTTTTCCATGCATATGCCTATATGAAGGGGAAGGGGGGTGATATACGCTTTATACGTAGGTATCCAATTGATGATTTCGATGAATATGATAGAAATTCCTTAAGGATGGGAGCTACTTATCGCAGAAAAGTCAAGATTAACCATATGACCAATCATCAAGGACTTGCTTCAGGTTCTGGATAAACGCTGTGAGGTATTTGAGATCAGTCGCCGCCACAGCATTTGATTGGCAAGGTAGCATCAGCAAGCGACGTTAAGAAGCTACTTGAATGGAACCAATTTGGACTGTGCTTTATTTTTTGCGCTGTATTTTGAGCAACAACCAACTATGGGAACAAGGAATGTTTTTTTAGAGTTGGGCGTTTTAAAATTTAAGAGTTTGCAGGAAAAGCAGGTGCTTTGGCGACTAAAAATAAGAATCAGCACCATCAGGAAACTCCTAAAATTATGCCGAGCACATTAATTAAACCCGTCTGCATGCGTGGAAAGCTTTGCAACAACTACAAACTATTATGGGTAATACAATACTAACATAGTAGTAGTTCTCTGCCGACGATAGTGTGTGTGTTTGTAAATGATGGTTAGTTATAAGGTTGTGTAAAAAACCACTTCCAACGGAAAAGTTTTGACACAAACTTGATCTTGTTCGATACCACAGCACTATGGGGTATATAACCACTTTTTCTGGAATTAAATATTACAAATGAACCAAAAGAGGTTTTTGAACGCGGTTTTTTTGCAATTTATTTATTAAAAATTATGCATTTTTTAATGTTATGAAAATTTGATCCATATTGAACAAAAAACACGTATGTTATTCAATAAAGAATTTCTCGGCACCCCTTCTAGAAACTCCACCTAATTAGAAAACATGTTGACGTTGGAAAAGGCAAGGTTACCTAAGATAAATGTAAATTGCTCCTGTAGTGCGAAAAAGTTAACAATGAGACTAACTTATACTGTTTCAGAACTGAACATGCTATAACATTTAGTCTTACACCATTCTCAAGGGTTAAATTTATTTTTAAAAAACCAGCTAACAACTCTTTTATAAAATGACGAAATGTTAGTATGTTAGGCAAAATTTTGCAGTATAAATATTATCCACAATTTGAACAATTAAATTTAACACACAGTAAAAATCTTCTAGAAGACTATTCACAATTTTTTTTTAACTTATTGCTTCTATTGCTAAATACATGTATTACATATTATACCAATATATTTATAAGTAAAGCCACTTTAAAAATATTGAATATAGCCCAATAGGATAATTTTTTTTATGCATTCACAATAGTTTCGAACTAATTTAAAAACTTTTAAAAAACGTCTAAATGCCACATAAAGTGGTCAAGTACCCATAGTGCACAGGAGTCCAAGTTCCAAATCGGATAGTTCTATCTTTTATAGTCTTCCAGATCAACGCTCGTTCAATATTTGAACACATTAGTATAGGAATCAGTATATAAATGTCTATAACTCCTATAAAAATCGGATTTGTCTGAATATTGTTATCCAAGTGTAAATTAGCCATATGAATAGTTTGGAAATACTTATACTTATAGTTCTTTTTCTTTTAGTCTTTAAGATCGACGCTATCCTTATGGGGTTGGCGATGGTTCCTTCTCTATGTTCCATGTATTGATACAATTGCAAACCTAGAGATATCTGCGTTATGTATAATAATTCGTAAAACTGTATGAGATTCTTTCGTCAAACATGCTACGGATGCACTGGTGTTGATTACGCAAGGCCCTTGAATCTGAAGGATCGAAAGAGCCGCAACGGCAAGAAAGGGATACTCGGTACTAGTCAAAAGGATACTTGGAACTAACCCAAGTAGCTTTTCTATTTGTAGTATAACTTTTGTAATGTGTGTCTTTGAACTGCCGTTGTGGAAGTAAAAAATCCTATTCCTCTGGTATTGTCGAGGGCACTGTCGACGACTACTTTATAGTTGCCTTGTATCAGTAGTCCCCATGCTTAGAGTTATACTATCTACTCATGGTTATACTATCTAATCATGGTATCTACTACAGTTTCCAAGAGGATTTTGTTCCAATAATTGTTCCAAATAAAGTTTTAATGTTATGTTTCCGTTGTATTTTTTAAGTTCCACTTGTCATTAAAAAACGTATTTTGTTGACTCCTACAATTTATTTGTATTGTAATGTAAGGTGAAACATTGTTGGCCTCAAAAAATGGAAGATTGACAGAATTACTTATTCAAACTTTGGTACTTTTATTGCAAATTCGCCAGTTCCGAACGCAATCGTGGCACACGAAGACAGAAGGGGGTGTATTGCGCACCAGTACATTTGAATACCGAATGTAAATTATATTGTCCGCTCCACGCCCTGACACTTAAGAGACGAAATAAAATAAAAGATGGATACAACGACAACAAAAGGAATGAAAAACAGCGCCACAGTGACAGCCAAGATGGCGTGGATGGGCGTCAGAAGACACACGAACGACTTCAGCGCCGGGCATACGGACAAGGACGACAAACATGTGGCACAATCACCTTCAGTCGGCGTGCTGTCATGTCTTTGAGTAAGGTGCGGGTGTGTGCCATGCCCCCCCCCCAGAGACAACTGAATGAGCTTTAATATTTGAAGAGCTTTAATGGAATCGTTTTGCTTTGAGTTTACTTTCAATTTACGCCTTGTGGCTGGGTCCTAAACTGCCTGCCTGTATGCCCCTCTCTTGTCATATCGCACGTGCGTCGGCATTTGCAAACTACATTATTTCTGCTGGGGAATGGATGAGAATCGATAAGAAAATTTTAATGCCCTTGCCCACCTGTGCATAAAAATGGGCGCCTTCACCGAACGCCCCTTGATGCATGCATTTTAGGGAGTTCATCTTATAAATAGAATTCACGGGGGTAATGTATTTAAGTATTTTTGTTTTGTATTGCGTTTGAATATGTATTGTATTATGTCTAAAAATTGAAATAACATTTTTTTTAAGATTAGGAAAATGGGCACATTTTTAGAAGATCAACGTAAGGAACATTTTTCAATTATTAGAAGTTCATTTAATAACGAAAAATCTGAAATTTTGGACTGGTTACTAACGGTAAATTTATGTAACATATTCAATTTGTAACAAGCAGTGTTAATTGCATGCTTCGGTAAAAATCAAAGTTAGGTTCTTTTTTCAGCAGGCAATCATCGGAGCGACAACAAACAATTTTAAAAATTGTTTACAGCTGAATAAACTTTTTGCCCAAAGACCAAAAATAAATGCGCTAACCCAGCTCAGACGACCCCCGAGCATCCAAGCGGGAGTAATGGGTGGACATCCCATGCTCATCTTGGTCAAACCTAATTTCCACCCTTTCGTCCTCTTGTTTTGACCTATGAGTCTGTCATTATATTTATTTTTCCACAAAATAGCTTTCTTTCATATACTGAAGAATTAATTTTTCGTTTTGAATTCTAAAGTTTAAACTTTAAAAGTTGAGGGTGGAAGAAATGAGTAGCGGGTATAATATAGTCGGGGAACTATATTAGGTTCTTATCTCTATTTCTGCAAGTTTCCTTTGCCCACTCCAATCGCTCTCTTCAAAGCTTCTGCTCTTATCTGGGAGTGGTTCAAGGTACATTGTTTTTAAACTTTTTATATATTTTTTATATTTTTAATTATTAAACCGGAATTTTAACTGGTCTGCTCAATGAAGTCTTATTATAGAACAATCTCAATAGTTTCGGATGACATTTCCCGTAGTTCTAGTTGTGGTAATTGTCGTGCTGTCCAAGACGAAATGAGGTCGTTCATGAGACAGACTAGGAACGGACTCAAAAAAAGAGTTGATCTCTGATTTTCGAAAAATAAATGATTCTGCGCGCTTGTCACTCAGTTTAGCGGCCTTGAGCTGCTAAATGAGCCCCCTAAGCGTAAGAAATCCGCCGTTTTGTGATTCGCCTCATCCTGCTCAGCCGACAATAACTTAGCCGCTCATGTCTCTGGCCACCCCAGGGGCTAGAACTGAGAACAATTCACCGACCGAATTTCTCAGTGAAAATGAGCAATTGTCCAATATGTCCTCCGTTGGATCCCTTTAAGTGATACCACGGGTTCTAAAGAATGAAACCCCCGTTAGAGTCACCCA